TATTAAATGCGATAACACTAGTGCCATTAATCTTTCGAAAAATCCCATACAGCACTCACACACTAAACACATTGAAATAAGGCATCACTTTCTACGACATCATGTACTTAAAGGTAACATTGAACTCGAATTTGTGACTACAAGTCAACAATTGGCCAATATCTTTACAAAGCCTCTCAATGAAGAAAATTTCTACTATATACGAACTGAGCTTGGTATGTTAAATATGCTTGTGTGATGTCAAAACTATTTGTTATTTTGCTTCTTTGAGAAATTTGATGTGAAAAACACTAGTTTTTGCCTTCCACAACCCTTAAGGGTCGACCCCCCCCCCCTCTATAGGGTCAACACCTTATGAACTAGGCTTGTGCCTTTTGTTGCTTAGGGTCAACACCTCTCTTCAAAGGTGTCGACACCTGAGGACACTGCTTTTTAGTGTCGACCCCCTTCCTCTAAGGATCGACACTTACCTTTTGGGTAAGGTGTTTGTCGCGCGGTCTTTTCAAATTCAAAGGGCTGACCCCCTCTCTTCACAAGGGTCGACACCCTCTTAAGGTTATATATATATACACTGTGACCCTTCCCTTTTCTTCTGCAACACCTCCTAAAATCTAGCCCTAGCCCCTTTTCCTATTCTGGCGATTTTCTCCGACGATCAACATTCCGATTCTTTTCCATCTTACTCGCAATCTCTATTCTTCCTCTCCATGGATTCTCAAGCCCCTCTTCCTATTGTGACACGGAAGCGACCTTGAACCTCCTCCACTTCCACTGTCGTCACTGCTTCTCCTCCCGTACTTCGATTCAAGTACCCTAAATGCTGATCTGCCTTCAACAAGGACTTCAATCTTCGAAAGGTAATCTCTGGACGTACCATAGACCTTGCATTTTTTGAAAAACTATATATTCCCGTAAAAGCCTGGTTCTATAACCAAAAGTGGTCATCTCTTTTGAAACTTGACTGTGAAATTTACCCCACACTAATCAAAGAGTTTTTTGCGAATCTATCTTGTTATGAGGACACTTCTCCTCATACCCTCGACTGTTTTGTAAAGGGTGTCCCTTTCACTCTGACATCCTCTGTCATTAACTCTATTCTGAAAACTTTAAATGATGAACACAGGATTAATCCATCTGTAACTCTTAAACCACCCCAATACTCTTATCTCACTGGTCTTCGTCTCCTCACAAACAACCCCGACCTAAATCATCTTGTCACTGTCTCTGGGAAAGATCTTTCCTCTAGAACTAAGACTGTTACATCACACCTCACCCACAACATTATCCCTAGGTCCGGTCGCTTTGATGCTGTGACCGATGGTAACACTTATCTCATTTGGGCACTATCCACTGGCACTCTCACTGATTTCGGTTTTTTGGTTATCCATTGTATCAGAAATACCCACAAACAAAATAATCAAACCCTTCCCTATGGAATGATTTTCACTAAAATCTTCAAGCATTTCAAAATTGATCTGAAGGAGGAAGAAAAAGTCCCTCGAGACTCCTCGTGTTATGGGGCTGAAACTCTTAGAAGCATGGGATATTCACTGGTCAACCGCATTTGGACCATGACCAAGAAAACTATGTCTTCCTTTGGTCTCTCTACCCTGGCTCTTTTCTTCCCAGTCCCACACTTCCTTTCTCCACCCCTGGTCCCTCTTCTCCACTACCTTCTTCTGACATCTCCTCTCTCTCTCAAAAAATCGACCATCTCAATTTTATAGTTCAGGGTCCCTTGATGGATGGGATTGCTTCAATCAATTCTAGGTTTAACAATCTAAACCTAGATTCCCAATCCATCCCTACCTCTGATATTCCTTCATCCTCTCACATTGTCCATACTTCATCCTCCTCTGCCTTGGAACAAAAAGTGGATGAATTGGGCTAATTGGTTCTCCAACTTGTTTCTCAACAGCCTGAAATGCAAAATGACATTGATTCCATAAAGCTACAGTAATCCCAAGTCATTGCAGCTACTAAAGAAAGCGTTGAAATTATGGTGATTGCAATATATAGGATCAAAGACTCCAACGAAGAATTTCGTCAAATCTTCAAACAGCGCTGGGACGATGATTTGGGCAAACAAATCCGCAAGTTCATGCTGTGGCTTGCCCAAGGTTAGCGTGAAGTTGCCCCACATTGGACTCGTTCTCCTCCTCCATTTTGCTGATGTCCTGACCCCCTCTTTTTGTTGATGAGAAATGGGGAGAAATCCATTGTTGTAGTTGGCTCTAATAGTTGGCTCTAATTATAGTTGGTTAATTTGATGTTTTTATAGCTTTTAGCTGTGATTAGCTGTTACGAAAACTAGATATATATGGATGCCTAGATATACAACACTTTTTGGGTAACACAAGTTAAGAAATTGATGATATATATGGATATTTTTGGGACATAGACACTTTGTACTAATCTCTTTAATGGTATGAAGACATGTTGCTATTTGCAATTGATTATGAATGATTGTACTTGGAGCATTATGGAATTTGTTTTAAAAAGCTTGTGATTTCATTCAATGTTTGTGATTTCATTCAATAAAAATAAACTGAAGAATTTAGCTTCACTAATGAATGGTTTAGTGCATATTGATAGGGGGAGCTTACTCTATTGTTGTATCAATTGAAAATCTCCTTTACATACATATTTTGAGTTATCCTTATTATGGCCTCAAAGCCCTTTTTTTATAGGGGGAGTTTTCGATCTCATTTTTTTTATTTACAAAACTCTTGAAAAATACTTCTTAATGCGTTCACTCATACTTTAAAAACTTTAAATATTTGTCATCATCAAAAAGGAGGAGATTGTTAGCCCCAAGGTTATTCAACTTTAGATTTCTATTGATTTTGATTATTGACAAATATTTTGAATTTATTTTGTTATTCAAAGTTTTCAAAATAATAGTATAAAAATCGTGCTTCATGTTTCCAAAAGTTATATGGCTCTAGAATGTTGTTTTTCAATGGTTTTTTAGCCCCTCAAAACATGGGATTAGCACTTGGTTGCAAAACTTTATCTATGCTTAAAACAGGTCTAAGTGTCAACACCAAGATAGCAAGGGTCGACACCAGAGTGAAGCCCAAAATGCCTAAGTGTTCCAGCTATAAGGGTCGACACTAAATTTCATAATACAATTTAGTAACAAGGGTAGACACCAAGAACCACAAGGGTCGACAAATTTCAAAATACAATCTAGCTGCAAGGGTTGACACGAAGAATGATAAGTGTCAACACCAGGAACATTTGAAACTCAACGCAGAGAAGAGAGAAAAACAAAGGGTCGACACCCAAGTTGCAAGGGTCGACACCTGTAAAATCTGGGTTTTAAAAATCTAGCTGCCAAATTAGATCTGGACTGATACAACCTCTTTCTCAGTCACTTTTTCAGATTTATGTACAGAGTATGTCATCTTCTCTGACCCCCTGAGTAGATTTTCTGGCACCATAGCTTCTCCAAGAAGTTGACCTATGAAGGAGAGCATTAAATGAAAAACTTATACATTAAATGATCTTTCTCTTCCCCAAGACATGTATACAATCTGTCCATATTCTGATCAAACACAACTGGAAGATCTCCTCCTTGATTTGCTCCAACGACTAGGAGATTCAAATCTCCTCTCTCCAACAGTTAGAAGTCATTAATGCTATAAAGATGAAACTCTCCTTATTCATTCAATACACTTCTTCAATTCAACATACCCAGAGCATTCAAGAGCATTTAATATACTTCATTTATACTTTGACTTTTATATCTGAGTTAGTCATCTATGAGCTTACACTTTTATATCCATCTTTTGAGAGAGAATATTTGTTGAAGAGGACAATTGTACCCCTTGTTATCGTTCCCTATTTTCTGAGTGAAACATTTGTAAAGTGAGGCATTTAGTTTAGAGGTCCTCAACAGATAGAAATAAGTCCTTTGTAAAAATCCACAAGCTAAGAGAAGCTTGGTGGTGTATTGATTCTTAGTGAAAAAGTTCTCAAGGAGGTCTCTTGAGGAGTGGATGTAGGCCAGTGAGCCGAACCACTATAAATCCTTGTGTCAAGCTCTTATTTCCTTTCTTTTATTTTATGTGTACTTATTTTTATCTGCTGCATTTAATCTCTTGGTCTTTCAAAATCTGTTTTCTAGCTAAATTTTTTATTTACCCAATTTACCCTCTTCTTGGGTTGCTTTCCTGTATAACATAGTTCATCTTATAATACAAATTCATCGAACCCACTATTACATATTATTTGCATATTATTAGTGTAAAAATACATTAATATCAATACACTACAAGAATCTGCACTTTTAGCGACCACTTTCCGTGACCAATATAGAAGTTGGTAGCTAAAAGTTACCTTTTGGTGACCAAATATTAATTAGTCGCGAATGATCATTATTTTTGGCGACCAAATTTGAGTTGGTCGCACAAGGTCATATTTTGGCGATCAAAAAATGAGTTGGTCGCAGAAAGTGGCATGCTTTTGGCAACCAACTATAAATTTGGTCGCGGAAGGTCACATTTTGGCGACCAAAAAATAAGTTGGTCGCGGAAGATCAAAAATAAGTTGGTGCGGAATTAGTGACCAAAATTTTAGTCGTCAAAAACTTATTTTCCGTGACCAAAAATATTTTAGTTGTCGTATATTGAGTTTGGGCTACTAAAACAATTTAGTTGCCGAATGGAAAATAAACTTTTTTTTTTCTTTGGCGACCAAAAATTTGGTCGCCAAAAACTTATTTTCAGCAACCAAAAAAAATTAGTCGCCAAATTAGTACTTTTAGCGACTAATATTTTAGTCACCGTTGATTGAGATTTGGCGACTAAAAACGTTTGTCGGCGAAGGTACCTTTTCTGCTACTAATCTGGTCTTTTGGTCGACAAAAGTTTGAAAGGGAAATTTGAAACGCATAAGCGGGAATTGAAATTTTTTTGTGACAAAAAAATTTGGTTGCCAATTGTAAAACGAAGTTGTTTTGTACCACGAAAACAAAAAAAAAATTAAAAAAAAACCCTAATCTCCCCTCTGTCTCTAACTCGCTCTCTGTGTCTCTCTATGTTGGTCCGCCCTCTCCCTCTCTTTGTGTTCTCTCTTTCAATCGGTGCCCACTCTCTCTAGCTCACCGAAGTCCCTCGCCACCGTTGCTCACGTCGTTTTGTCGTCGTTGCTCTCTCTCTCTCTCTCGTCACTCTCTCACTTCCAATCGGCAATGAAACCCTAGCCACAATGTCCATTCACTTTGTCCCTTGTTCTACCTCCGCTACCAGTTCTACTGCCCCCTTTATTGCATTGCCACTCGTGACCGCCAGTCCAGGTATGATTTGTGTTCTTTTAATTTTGTTTTGTTTTCTTTTCCCCCAGAAAAACAAAGACAGTGAGAGAGAAAGAAGAGAGAGAGAGAGAGACCATATGGAAAAGCGAAGGATCTAAGTGATGGAGGCCTAATAGATTAGAAGGTGAGTGCTCACACTTTTGACCTCAACTCTGATTTCATTTTCTATATATATATATACATATATGTATCTACATGTTTGTTTGTGTGTATATCAATGGCTAAATCTCCGTGGAGCTTTCCCAAAATGTTAGCTTTTACTTTTTGTGTACTATTTATCGTGAAATTCATGGAGTTTTTGGGTTTTATTATGAAAGTAGGCTACTAGTTGGTTAATCTGTATGATTTCTATGATATATATATATTCAATGATTACTTTGTGTTTGATAGACCATGGTCTTGTTGGGTATACAAAACTTGTGCATAGAAGCTGTTTAAGGATTTGTCAAAGAGACTAATACTTCATTGGCTCCAAGGTTTGACATAGATATAAATTTTGATGTGGCATATGATTTGTTTGTTAGTAATTCTCCATATGACATAGATAAATGTAGATGATCATGTCTCGATTTTTTTCCCCAAGTTATTAATTTTTAAGTAAATTATTATATTACCATGGACATCATTGACACTTTACTGCTCGGTTGCTTTTATTTTTGTTAGTATCCCAAAATTTGTACATCTAGCAACTTTTTTTATTTTTTATTTTTTCTGAGACTATATTCTTAATTGTTCATATATATATATGATATATCTCATGGAAAAATTGATTTCTAATGAGCCAATTAGAGGAAATGGATCCGTATAACAAATTGGACGAAGTCTTTGTTGAGTTGAGATATAAAAATAGATTTGAATTTTCTTGGTCTCTGAGAAATTTTGAGCTCGCCATTTTGAGCTTTAGGTAGAATAAAAATAAAATCTTTCTTTCTTATTGATGGCACAATCGGGCACAAATATATTTTTAAGAATTTTGTGACTAGGATAAATTACAATGGAAAAAGTCATCACCAAATGATTACAAATGTCAAAAAAGCAACATGAACTTAACTTTCCTTAGATCTACAGCCATGTGGGATCTAATCTTACTGTTTTTCGTTCCCATTCACCTTCCAAATGTTCTTTGTCAATAAGTTTGGCTAGTTCTCCTAGGTGGTTCCATCTTTTGAGCACCAAATTGAGGCACATCATCACCTTATTTGAATTCTTGAATAAAAAATATATTGGCTTTTGGACCATTAATTTTGGGAGAAAATATTTAGTGTTTAATAGTCATTGATGCACACTGAGAGGGTAATTTTTGGGAAAAATGGGGCCGAGCTGCGAGTTGGGCTTTGAGGCCCAAAAACGCGAAGGACTAAGTAAAAAGGCCGTAATGGATACTTCGGCCCAGGAGGGCAAGGTTACTCCGGCCTTGAGGAAACAAAGTTACTCCGGCCCAAGGAGGTGAAATTACTTCGGCTCACAGATGATAAAGTTTACTTCGGTCAGAGGATTGTAAATGTACTTCGGTCTAGGAGCAACTTGAAGTTAGACCGGCCTTGGAGTTATATCAACCCTACAGGTATTCCGGTTTGGGAGTTATACCGGTCGAGTTATTGGTTCGGTCCAAACACACTATAGGTTGAACAGGGGCGGCCGGGGTAAGGAGTTAGAGGAGAAGACCGAGCTAAGGGCAGTTCGGCCCTCTGTGGCTCGGCATAGCCAATTTTACTTCGGTCACATGGAAATTCGGCCATAGAGAAAACTATCCCACTTGGTTTAAGTAGTGGGGGAGGGTGTAAAAGGATAAGCATTATCCTTAGGAGTATGAATCCTAGGAGGACTCTGCATGGAGAAATACAAGTCCTACTAGGATTGTGCCATGGGAAACTTATAAAAGCTCACAAGCATCACCTTGGAGGAGGTAATTGAACATAATTCTTTCTGAGAACCTAGAGCATTGTCTATTTGTCAAGTTTTCTGACTTCACGGGCGCGTCTACAAGGCATCGGAGAGGTTTCCGGCACACACCCGCCGGCTAGCTCACATTTGTGTTTTCAGGTGACAAAGCGACGTCGTACGGGGGAGCGTGGACTTGGTCAACAGGATTATACGAGGAGAATTATTTCCTCCCCGTACAATTGCTATTTTTTTTAATTTTTTATTTAGTAGCTTCAAAATACAAAAATTGTTGAAATTTATAGGTTATTGACAAAACAAAATTAAGAAATAAAAAGGCGATCCGTTGATTTTTTTTCAATTAAGTAGTTTAAGAATTGAAAAATTATAAAAAATTATAAGTAGCAAACACAAAATAGAGCTAACATTTGTATAATAAAATATCACAAATGCTTGTTTCTTAACTACACGAAATTTAAATTTTAAAAAATTATAGATAACATTTAATCTTTATCTAATTTTTAACTTGAGCTTATTTGGTATGTGGATTGGTTTTTTGGCTATTTTAGTCTGGGGCTAAAAAGTTTCAATTAGAATAGACTTTTTGACTTTTACGAGAGAAAAAAATGAAATGATTATGAGTTGGATGTGACATTTTTGTCATATTTTGTTAAAATGACCTATTTTGTCTTATATGGCTATTTTAACCCAAATGCTCTTCCCAAACAAGCTCTAATGGGTATACACATCAGTTCTTATTTTTGAAATTTTTTTTAACAAATTTTAAAAATTTATAGATGACATTTTACTCTTATCCATTTTTTGCTATTATTTCTTCTATTATTAAAGTTATATTAGATTTTTTTTTTGAGGTTTAGCTTATTTTATTTTTGAATTTTTAAATTTTAACTTGATTTCTTTTTTTCATCTTCATTTGATGTATACTAAATTTCTCTCTACCTCATTTTTATAGAATTTATTTAATTTTTTCTTTTTTATATTCTTATAGTTTATCTATTTAAACTTGATTTTTTATCTTATATGTACAAAATCCACATTTATTCTTCTTTTTCAGTTGAGTTTATTCTTTTTCGAGAATTTATCTAATTTTTTCTTTTTATATTTATATAATTTATCTTCAAATTTAAAATTATTATTTTTATTTTTTTCTAATATTTATATAATTTCACTCTTATTCTTCATTTTCATTGAGTTACAAGTTGTTCCTTGTAAAAATTAGCCTTAGTAAAGATTAAGTATATTGCAAGCACTCTATTCTAAGTTAGCTGGAAAAACTAACTTAGAGGTTGGCTGGATTAAACCAACACCCTTCCTAAGCCCAGGATAAGGATCCAGGCTGCAGGACGTTTTGGTCGGAATAACCAAACATTGTTCTAAGTTAGCCGGAAAAACTAACTTAGAGGTTGGCTGAAATAAACCAACTCTTTTTACTCTTCAGCCGAAGTAAGGGTATGGCTGAAGAGTGGTTGGCTGGAATAAACCAACACTTGTTACTCTTCAGCCGAAGTAAGGGTATGGCTGAAGAGTGGTTGGCTGGAATAAACCAACACCCTTCCTAGGCCCAGGATAAGGATCCAGGCTGCAGGACATTTGGTCGGAATAACCAAATACTATAAGTTAGCTGGAAAAACTAACTTCAATGGTTGGCTGGAATAAACCAACACTTGTTACTCTTCGGCCAAAGTAAGTGCAAGGCTGAAGAGTGGTTGGCTGGAATAAACCAACATCTGTTACTCTTCAGCCGAAGTAAGTGCAAGGTTGAAGAGTGGTTAGCTAGAATAAACCAACACTTGTTACTCTTCAGCCGAAGTAAGCGCAAGGCGCTGAAGAGTGGTTGGCTGGAATAAACCAACTCTTGTTACTCTTCAGCCGAAGTAAGTGCATGGCTGAAGAGTGGATTGGCTGGAATAAACCTACACTTTGTACTCCTTAGCCGAAGTAAGTATATCGGCTAAGGAGTAGTTGGCTGGTAAGTATAGTTTAAAAAGCCAAAACCGAAATACAAGTTGGAGTAATTAAAGGCATTACAAATGCAAGCATACACACAACAACCGGAATGAGAGTTGCGTAACTAAGGAGTGGTTGGCTGGTAAGCATAGTGTAGAAAGCTAAAACCGAAATAACAGTTGGAGTAATAGAAGACATTACAAAATGCAAGCATACACACAACAACCAGAATAAGAGTTGCGCAAAATTTTCATTCAAGGAAAAGTCATTACATAGGGGCATACTTCGGTTACAAAGAGACGAAAAAAATTAAGAGAAAAGTTCATCAATTTCAGCATCAAAAGCCGCATCATCACTAACTCGAAGACCGGTCTCAAGAGGAAGCTCACTCTCGGCTGCCATGATTCCTTCGGTTGGAACCACATCTTCATTTGGCTGCTCGTTAGGAAGGTCCTCTACCATGGGTTCCAACCGAAGTGAGGGGTCGGCACCAACAACCGGAATGTCTGCAGGAGCAGAGGAGTCATCAGTATCAGAGTCCTCCAGGAACTCTTGTTGCAAGGCATCTGCATACGCCGCAAGGGACTTCGGTATAAAGTACGCTGGAGGGTCGAAGACCTCGGTCTGTTCATCATGACCGAGCTTCTCCACAGGCGCCCTCCAGCCGCACTTGAAGAAAAGCTCTTTGGCGGCGTCGCATTGTTTGACATAGGCCTCCTCTGCCTCCTTGTAACCTCGCTTGTACCCCTCCTTTTCGGCCGCCTCCATGTTCTTTTTTAGTTCGTTTATTTCGGTGTCTTTTCTCTTCTCAAGCTTCAGCAGCTCCCGCAGATATTTGTCCTCCTTTTCGGCCGCCTCCATGTTCTTTTTTAGTTCGTTTATTTCGGCGTCTTTTCTTTTCTCAAGCTTCAGCAGCTCACGCAGATATTTGTCTTTCATTACAATGGCCGCTTTTTGCTTCTCCGCTTCAGCCGAATTAACCAGATCGGCAAGTCTGCCGTTCTCTGCTTGAAGCTCGGTCATTTTCCTTTCGGCCTCCACTAGTTCGGCCGCCTTTGCTTCGGCTTCCGCCATCGCTTGCCTTGTGGTCTTGCGGAGTTCTTGGACTTTCCTATAAGTGATATTGTTCTTTTGCAAGGCCTGGCAAAACAAAGATTTCTTCTCAACCGAAGTAAAAGTTGGAAAAATTTAGACAGAAAAAACAGACAGAGCTACTTACCAAGATCATGGACTTGGAAGCAGACCGAATTGATTTCATTTCGGTGTTCAACTGCT